ATCGTAAAATTGGTGCTCCAGCGCTTGTCGTTGTGGTGTCTCTCTACGATTAGCAGAATACACTGTTAAGATTCTCGCTGATTGTCGCAGGTTTTCCCGACCACCCTCGTACCACGGCGAGCCAAGTCTCAACAATACTTGGCCTGAGCTCTCGGCGGTACTTACGACCTCCAACCAAGTCAGTGTTCAATATTGTCTGACATGCGCTTCAAAACACAAACTGCCCTTGGACGATCTACTCTGTGAGGGAGTTTACAGTACGGATTGTTTCTTCTTCACTGGCCAGTCGCCGAGACGCTATACAACGCATTAGAAGGGTCTCACGCGCGGCTTCTCTTCCGACGTCTCACGTCACTTATTCCTTTCTCAACTTGCGCTAGACGAAATGTTTACGTTCTTATTCTAGTGTTGTAATCTAAACACCTTTTATTGATCACTACTTTTGTCGGTAGGAACTCAGAGTCCGTGATGTGATCAAGTCATTGATCCTACTGATCCTCTCGGCTGTAGACTAATAAGTAATTCTGATATGGCGCTTATGGATGTACTAACATCCAAACGTTTTCTTACTATGCCAAAATATCTCCGCAATGCTTGTTAAGACACAGACGAATCGTAACTTGTTCCGTCACTATTATGATTGTTCACTCACCTTCGCATCTCTGCTGTTGTTCTTGGCCTACATGTTATGATACTCCGAATTGCAAGGTTGACTCAGTCGACCACTTGGACATACCTCCGAGAAGCACCCCCAGGCCGCGGGCAATTGTGGGGTACCGCCGCCTCAGGCGTACGTATGCTACGTGTACTCTTCGCATAAACGTGCGTGTTCACTGGGTCTGCGTGAACGTGGGTCCTCTACCGAATCCGCTCAGAAGCGTAATACTGGGTACGGATTCTTTCGCTCTAGGTCGCGCTGTGTATGGAACCTCAGGTTGCTTAAGTGCAGACTGTTGCGGATACCCACGAACGATTAATTTCCTAGATTGGTAAACCAGTTGTAGCGTAGATCGCCTCTCCGGTCGTACGTTCAAGACACAAGATACGACGCTGTCTCTGGTGTACAACGGTAAAATCCTGCGCGCTCGGCCAAGTTACTGGACGCGCACGCGCTCTCGTCGCGTCCGTCGCTTGGTCGCGCTCCACTTGCCGTGAACGAAGCATAAGCCCGGAGTGAAACAACCACGAGGGTAAGACGAGCTTTTAAGGTAACGACGGGACGTAATAATACGCCTGCACTTTGTCGGTACGCTCTCACCACTTGGCCTGTACCTCAAGAAAATGAAACGGGGTCCACCTGGGGTGTGTGATGTCTCTCTCTCGAACACAAACGGATCGTCTCATCCTTTTATTCACTGTGTTTTGTGGTGTGTGTGTGTGTGTGTTTTATTAGTCTACAATTGCTGTTAGTATGCTCTGAGGCTGTGTGCATGTGTTCTCCTGCATTTCCTTTCGCGGTAGAGTGGTCGCTCGTGGCTCAATGTGTGTCATAAGTGTGTTCGTCGTCTGTCGACGGTCAGTCGGTGTCTTCTCATTCACTCGTGTAGACGTCCGGTCTCACCGCTCAGACAAGATCACTCCTACACCATTAACCTTACTCACTAAACGAATTCCAAATAAAGGGACAAATTAATTCACTTTTATAAGCTTGTTCAACTACAACCGTTAATCCTTCACACGCCGAGTTGTTTCCTTCCACACGTTTCTATACACGTAGCGACACAAGGAGGAGAGTCGGTCTCCACTCAGAGTCTCCATAGTCTCCTAGTCACTGTCACTCAGTTAAGAAACTCGTAGCAACTCCAATTCGTCTCCCTCTCCTATGAGAAAGAAGCGTCTCCATAGTCTAGGAAAAGACTCCTTGATTCTCCACCTCCCCCCACTTTAATCTACTAAAAAAAATATGACATCTCTAAACGTCTAAGAATGTGTGTTAATCGACAATCTCGTCGATCCTGTCTTATAGTTAAGTTTGGACCAGCGCTAAGACTCATCTGCGGGGAGGGTGGGGCGGTGTGCGTCGGAATCCGCGGCTCCGGTGCTGATACAGAAAGTCCTGGTGTACCGGTGTGTGTGGTCTCTGTCTCTATACTGAAACTATAGATATGTTCTTTTCTGTTTATGTGTTTATTGTTTTTGATTTTGTTTGTAATGGGGACGCCATTAGCAACCCTCTATCTTTTATTGATATAAGAAATTTGTATGTTTCTGTTGTTGTGTGTTTTCAGGCTGCATCGCTACAGAAGACCTTGCCGATCTGTCAATCTCCACTCCGGAAGTTTAGGTCAGGAGTTTGGTAACTACGTTAAGGTTTTGTATAACTATATAATCATCCTACTGTATATAAGTATTATCTATTGTTTCTTCCTTTCTGGTGATTGTAATGTGTGCTGCCCTACTGTATTCTCTTCGTTGAAAATATGATCTTGTCAATTTTTTTATTCTTGTATGTGGTCTTCTTTTGAGGTGTCATGACCGCCGACTCTTGGGCTCTCACTGACCTCCTCCGCCTTACCCCCCCGCCAAGAAGCAGAAGTCGCTATTCGCCGTTCCGTTATTCACCTATGGCCCCCCAACGGGTAAGAGGAAACGCTCCCCCGAGGAATGTTGGGGTGAACCTGCCGAAGGCGAACAGAGACTGCCGCCAGCTGACTCCATAGCGTCCTGTGGCCAACGAGTTTTATTTACGACGTTAGCCACTTTTCAATTTTATACAAAATATTAAAGTTTATAAAATACGGGGTCCAACCCGCGTTTCTCCCCCGAAAACAAAAAAAAAACTCTGTTTGGACTATTGTGTGAAAATCTGTGCCTCGAGCGACACTATGTGCTCACTTTTCCGCGCTCTCCCACTCACTGACCGGACAAGGGACGCCCCCGCAACTGATAGTTGCGAGCGTGTCTAGCTGTGGGACACGACCTATCTCCTGCCAGATCATCTTCTGAGTACATCCCCAAGAGTTGTCCTCTGCGCCCATGTCCCCTGTAGCCTTCCGAGTCCTTGTACAGGTTGCGGCACTCTCTGCAGCTGGAGATCTGGAACGGGACCCCAATTTGTCCCCATGAGGGAAGCGAGTCCCCACACGTGAACTAATATATTCATAAACTAAACATACCCTTTACTATGCCAGTGAATGTCACTATGTTGGCTTTATGAGTTATCGGCATAGGATCCGACAGAGGTATTTTTCCTGGGCAAACAGTGCAAAAGTTCTCAAGAGGTACGAGGCGCTTTGGCAGTGTCTCCATGTTCTGCGGTGAACACGCATCCGTTGACAGAACAGCTGGCAATTTCTTGTGGTCCAACAAGTAACATTTATTTAGATTAAGAAATACCTCCATGTTTAACAGCCGTTCTTCTATGGGTCTGCAGATGTGCCACAATATGGCCCTAGTCCCCCACCTTGCCGCAGAATGTGCACTTGTACTTATTAGGGCCTTCACAAAGGGGTGTTAGAGGGGCATCCCCCTTGTAAACAGTTGGGTGAATCTGGAAGAAAATTAGGAATTGTTTACTATTCAAACTGTTTTTATTTGCACTTTCAACAGTAACCATTCATATCACATAAATGACAGGAAAGTTTTTGAATGAGCTTTGATATTTATATTTCAATTGGATTGCTTATTAGTTTATGCAGCTCAAGGGGTCACATCATTTGTATAATATAACTAGTGTTTTTGCTTATCGATATTAGGTAGTTTTTATTATGTTACATTCTTTAACCTGTCTTTAATAGTGTTAGGTGAGCTATTAAGCATGTGTTAGATGACCAGTGACTCTTCTCTAATCATATTACTTTACCACATTTCTGATGATGCCATAACTAATGTTACATAATTATAGAAGACAAATCCGAATCCGAAGTGTTATTTTTACATATTGATTAGCAGCCGACATTTACTGAAAGGATGCGTCCGTCTCTCGTCTGGTTCATTACAACCAGTAGTTACAAACTGTTACAGTTACAACCTTAATCAGTACCGCACATCTTATTACTCAATTCAACCAACCAAGCTAGCCGTGTTGTCTATCCGAATCCGTACCATATTATTTGATTAAGTTACAGTATGTAGGGCAGGCCTACTTATATTTCCAAGATAATACAACAGTACACTAGCATCATGCTAAGTGCTGGTTAGCATCACAGCATATACGCTAACCTTAGGTCAATTAGATGATCAGCTTTGGTAACACAAATCAGTATTGTTACCGAGCCTGATAATCTATTGACCTATCTAAGCTTAACGTTATTACAACAGTAGAGTAGGCCCGGTTGCAAACGGGACTATAGGCCAACGTGTTTATAGCATCATGCTAAGTTAGCATTTAATACCACAAACATTTTTAACACATACAACTATTATTTACTTTATTAACGCTTAACGAGGTTGGACAGTCGATGTTGTACTTTGATAACGAGACAATTGTGTGTTAAGAAAAATGACATTACAATAAATATAAACATGCATCTCTGGAAAATACTATTACCGCTTTTTCAACGTGTTGTACGGCCATCTTGAAAGAACGAATGACTTCTTCTGCGAGGATTTATAAAAGCAGCTGGAATCCCTTAAGATGCATTACTGCCACCTACAGTATGTATTTCTGCTGAGTGTCATTATTCTATTGGATAGGGGATAGATAGGGGAGGATCCTATAGATATAGGATCCTCCCCCTATAGGAACCGCCCCCTGCCTGCGGTCTGCATCCAGACCCATCTCGGACAGTGGCCAGCCAAAATAAAAAAAACATGCAGCCATCTCCCTCACTGACATGTATTACCAGTGGGCGGGCTTTTACAAATTCCAAGCTTGCTATTCGCTCCATGGTCGCACTTCCACGAATAGTGGAAGTCTGATTGGTCAACTGTGGGTGCGTTATATCAAATCGCTAGATGAGGAATTATATAATCCCGCCTCAGCTCTGAAACTCGACTTTTCATTGGATAAAACGCATTCACGTTAGTTACGCAATCGGGAGCTGAACTGTGCCCCCACAGTGCAGTGCTGCTAAAACTCAGGAAAGCTAGTTTGAGTCAGACTGAGAGCGACAGAGATTTGCCTTACCCGAGCAATGTTGAATGTCATGACATTATGTTATTAGTGAACGTAAGAGACTGGAAGAGGGACTGTTCTGTTAAATGTGAAGGACATCATCGACGTCTAAGCAGCACAGTTTATCCTGAACATTAATGCGATACAGTTACCACAGCCACAACAATGCACTTGTCCTTAGTTTGCCGCGCCAAGGTAGCCTACTGTTATTCCACTGTTAGCTGTTTGCAAAGTGTGTGTGCACCAAATGTGAACCAAATGAAGGCCAGATGTTGCTTAGTCATGGGCCAAAGAGTAGGTAGGAGGGATTTTAGGAGCACATCCTATTGGCTACTGGAGGATGATGTTAAACTGTAGAAAAACTGCAGTAGTGGATTCAGTATAGTTTAGTTAAAACTCGAGGAAGATAGCTATGGCAACTCAAGACAAGGTGAACCAGGAGACACAAGAAACGGTAACTGTGTAATGCGATTTCCAAATAGACTAAAGTTTCTGTTTTGTTTTCTTTGTAGCCTGTTCTTCATGGATACTTCAGAAGTTCCTGCTCCTGGAGGGTTCGCATTGGTAAGTTATGTCAAGGAATCTGACAATGTATCTGTAACTTGACGCATGTTCAATTCAACAATGTAATCATTTATTATTTGTGCATCAGCTTTTGCTCTAAAAGGCATTGAATATGACCAGGTTCCAGTCCATCTGATCAAAGATGGGGGTCAGCAGGTACAGTTTACACACACGATAAACCTCAATACAGAAATAATATATTGTTTGTGACAATTAACGTTTTTAGTCTAACCTAAGTCCTTTATGTGCTCAAGCATACTGAACAGTACAAGACATTAAACCCCATGCAACAAGTGCCTGCAGTTGAAATTGATGGCATCACCCTTTCTCAGTCAGTGAGTCCCCAAATGCTTTACCTACAGTATGTAATCCTATAAAACACATGTTATTTAACCAACTTGAAAATGACTGATAATGGTTTCTTGCCCGCACAGCTGGCAGTGATCCAGTACATCGATGAGACCAGGCCAGGGCCTCCACTTCTCCCTGCAGACCCAAAGAAACGTGCCCAGGTCCGGATGATAAGTGACATCATTGCCTCCGGTATTCAGCCTCTGCAGGTGAGAAGACCAATTATGGTATAGTCAGACTAAAGCAGAAAGTTCAAACACTTATTGAGCTGCAAGTTCAGGTGTGACATTTTCTATAAAGGTCACAACACATGTTACTTAATAATGAATGTCTGTACATTTTCAGAATTTGCACGTGATTCAGAAGATGGGAACAGAAAAGGTTCAGTGGGCCCAGCACTTCATTGATCGAGGCTTTCAAGGTAGGTAGAGGCCCATCTTCTAAAAAAAAATACATAAGCACCTTATTCTAAGATTCATCAATTTTCATTTACAATATGAACATCTGTTTCAGCTCTTGAGCCCCTTCTGAAGCAAACAGCAGGAAAATATTGTGTAGGTGACGAGGTAAGAGGCATGACTAATTTATTTTTGATTGATCAAATGTATATGTATTATGATTGTTGTAAACATATTTGAATAGTTTGCAATACTATTTGAGTTATATTAATCCTGTTACCTATAACCTGACAGAGGCTTGAAATAAGCCCGGTTGGTTTTCCTTCTGTTCCTGCAATGTGTATCTTTCTATATAATCTTATATCATTTCATTCTGAAAACATATTGAAGCTTTACAGCAGTGTGATAAACAGACTTTTATATCCGACTTATTGTTTACCTTTCAGATATCCATGGCAGACATCTGTCTGGTCCCACAGGTCTACAATGCAGAGAGGTAGGTGATCAGAAATGTCATTAAAACTGATACATAAATACCAGATTAACACTCAGTCTCCCTGAACAATTATTAATCAACATGAATTTCATTGCAACAAAAAGGTAATACAAAAAAAAGGGATCATTACTATATATATTTGGTAGTCATCACTTTTTTTTAATTACCTGGTTTACATGCCATTAGTTGCTTTGCGCAACATTAAACAGGCTACATAGAAGCATGACCCCCCCTCTGTCTTTAATCTCTACAGGTTCAAAGTGGATGTCGAGCAGTATCCAACTATCAAAAGGTTGAATGAAACCTTACTTCAGATTGAAGCTTTCAGAGTGAGCGACCCGTCCTGCCAGCCGGACACACCCGAGGACCTGCGAGCATAGAACAACTCAGCAGCTTAAAACGACTTTGTAATAGTCATTTGTAAAAAATAAAGATGCTTTGGAAATAATCACATTTTCTTTTGTGTTACTTTAGATTAGTAGACAAGAAAACTTTGAGTTAAAAAATATTTATTGGCATTACATGTACATTTTGATTTTATCCATTGAACCCAGTCCATCAGTTTACCCTCAAATAAATATTGATATGTGGAGACAAGGTAGAGGACATGAAGTAATGTACAAAACATGGAGATATTTGTTATTCAAAGTTCAAAACCTCTAAGCTTACTGCTTGGAGAGTATTGACTGGAAGAGGTATGTATGTTTTTTTTTAAAAAGGAACAATAGCAGAAGATCACATCATTCAAAAATGATATGAAGTAAAGACAAACAACCAAATAGAAAAACAACATAGATCCTAACACATTTTTCTGTCATGTTAGACCTCAGCATCCTCTACCGTTTAAAAACAAACAATTGTCCCGAATGGGTTTCTTCCAATCACTTGTCCCCAGGGATCTCCACTGTACACTTGACTGTGTCCTTGTAGAAGGTACCGGAGCAGTCTGATCCACCGAACACGAGCACTCTGCAGTGGACGCTGACATTTTCCTTGTTCTCTGCGTCTGTCAGGATGGAGCAGCCCAACGTTATCATGCTGTGTCCTGCACGAGGCTTGGAACACAGCAGGGGAGACGCCACTGAGCTCCACATGTTGGTCTCTGAGGAGAAATCAAAGCAGTTTGTTTTTTGTGAAACCTTAAATAAGTGTGACTTAAAGTAAAGGACACACAACACCAACTTTTTTTTACATTATGATAATATGATGAGATTGAAGGGACACAAACTCACTAGTGTTTAAGATATGGACATCCTGCAGAGCTCCAATTGCACTGCAACCTCCACTGACTAAAATCCTGTCGTCTGAAACTGGTAGAGCTGCATGAAAACTGTTCATGTAAAGACAAGGACAATTTGTATGTGAAGCACAATGGTTCCTTAGCCAGTTTCTAAACAAAATGTTAACTATTACTGTCAGTATTCATATTGAGCCAAAAATAAATCTAACAGAATGCAGAAAGATGGTATTGTTTTATCATTGAGGATTATATCTTGTGTAAAAAAGACATCAAGTTCAAACGAGTTCTGCTTAAAAGACACCAAAAATTTAAAAAACAGATGGCTACATTGATGACAGCTCTCAAGTTTGATTTGTTCTGCACTCACCCTCGGGGCAGCGGTGGCATATTCCCACTCTTCACAGCTGTGTACTCCATGAGGCCTTCATTTAAAAACAGAATTCACATTTGTATCAGTTTCTGAACAAGGACTGTTGCCCTAACAGAGCCACCAAATCTTCATCTTACCCAGATCTAGAACATGGAGATCGTTAAGGTAGGTAGCAGTCTTCCGTCCACCAAATATGATCAACTTATTTGACAGCAGTGTAGCCGAGTGCCTGTTTGATACAAAAATAAGCATGGGATCAATATACTAAGAAACAGCATTTGAGGAGGACAGCGAATAGTGTTTTTAAAAAAAGGATACTGACCCAAACCGAGGCAGAGGTCTGTCCCCATCCACAATCGGCTGGTACCAGAGTTCAAACTCTGGGTTAAAGATGTACAGAACATTGCTGCAGGATTTATCCACAGAAGAATGGCTCGGCTGAACTCCACCGAAGACAAACAGCTCTTTCTTGTAAAAGGCTGCCGAGTGATACGCCACATTTGGAACATTCCCCTTTGCCTAAAAGGGGGTTAATGCATGACAAACCAAAAAGAAGAATGACCAACTATACATCTGCTTATACATCTGCTTGAGTATTTGACTGAATATCAGACCGCAACTTGCAACAAACCCACAGTGACAAGCCTCCACGTCCAGGTCAGAGTGTTAAGGATGTAGAGCTCATTGTAGCGCTGACCCTCCCTCAGACCACCGTAAACAAACACTGACTTGGAGTCTGGGTCGTAGGTCGCAGAGTGTCCTCGGGCACATAGTGGCACGGATCCAGAGGAGGAGGAGTTCATGGGGAACCAGAAGTCATTGTCTGGAAAGAGGTCAACAAGGACTTTATGGCTTTCCATTTTATCTTCATTCGTCCTCTGCATATAGTAAGCAATAAAAAATAAAAAAAACGGGGAATTAACAAAACTCCACTGACCTAACTCCAGTTTCCACAGGGAGTCCTTGCAGTGGTTTTGACCTGCTGTCTCCCCTCCGATGAGGATGGCTGTGTCAGGGTCGCTCAGACACATCGTATGGCTCCAGCGCATTGATGGACACACTGAAGCTAAAATCACAAGCTCCGTCAAAATCCATTCTTTGCATTAAAATGTGACTGTTACGTTTTCTGACCTTCTCTGTTGTCATTCTTTATCTGCACAGTCATTTCCTCCATGCTGTTCATCCTGGACAGCCTGATTTTCTTTGGGGATGAAGGCTGGTCTGCGTCCTTTGCGAGGATCTCCGTGTCCTCAGTGCTCCATGTCAGTTGGCCTTTCTTACTGATAACTGTCCGTCTGGGTGTCTTATCCTACATTACAGATTAAGTCACTCATCTTGCATGCAGATATTAAAATACTCTTGGCCAAGACTCTTACCGTAGGCCAAACTCTGGGTTTATCTTCAATAGTGGACTCACTGGTGTCAATTCTATTAACTTGAATGTCAGCATCAGAGCAAACACTATCCGCCAACAATTGTGACGAGTTGGTAGTTATCTGCAAGGCAGGAACAATAATGAAATATTGTAAGAAACAAGTAGATTACGGCAAAAACAATTGTGAGCATATTATCTCACCGTTTCATTTTCAGCGTTTTGGGGTAACGTGCAAGAGAGATCAGTGGTATCGTGCTCTGGTTCTGGCATTCTAAATGTCCTTTGAACCAGAAGAGTGCTGCTGAAGATGCTGGATTTATCCTGGGGCTGGTCACAAGTCTTAGGAGGAATACAAAAAAAACAGTCTCATAATAACCCAGGAAGTAAATGAAGCATCCCTTCTATCTCTAGAAAATGTATCTTCAACCAATAGTGTTTGTATCAGTCAGGTATAAACAGTATGTTTTAGATGGTAGAGTAACAAAAGTACATTCAACCAGTTAAGGTTAATGCCCCCCGGTACCGGGCATTTTTCCTAAATAAGGTCCCATGGAGGCCCACCGGAAAGGGGGGGACTTCGCCTCTCTATTAGCTGCTACTATAGAGAGGCGAAGTCCAAGACCGAAGCCATTATAGTTGGCACCCCACATCAGGTTCGGTCATCCACCATCACGACCATCACCTTCTCCGGCCAGGACATTACCCTCTCCTCAACAGTCACCAACTTGGGTGTGAAAATGGACGCCCATCTGACCTTTGAGGCCCACATTAAACAGCTGTGCAAAAACTCCTTCTATCACCTCAGGAACATCACCAAACTCCGCCCCTCACTCACTCTGTCTGACGCGGAAAAGCTAGTCCACGCCTTTGTCTCCTCAAGGCTGGACTACTGCAATGCACTCCTCATCGGGATCCCTAAGAAAAGCATCCAGAGGCTCCAGTACATCCAGAACAGCGCTGCTAGGATCCTGATGAGGGTGCGCAAATATGATCATATCACCCCCATCCTGAAATCACTACACTGGCTCCCCGTGGAATTGAGGATCGAATTCAAGGTCTCCGTCCTCACACACCAGTGTATCTATGGTACAGCCCCTCCATACCTCAAGGAACTCCTNTAAAATATTTGCCTATGGATGTCAGTAGACAAGTTTTGGATGCTTTGGTTCTGTCGCAGCTTGATTATTGTTTGGTTATATGGTCTAGTGCTGCTGAAAAAGATTTTTCAGCAGCACTAGACCATATAACCAAACAATAATCAAGCTGCGACAGAACCAAAGCATCCAAAACTTGTCTACTGACATCCATAGGCAAATATTTTACAATTATTTTTACAAGTGACACACCCCTTCCCATTTTACATACAACATTATCAATTTGTTTAGACTAAGATAATTTATGATCCAGGGTTATACATAGCAATTTTGTCTCCTTGTCCTGTTCAATTTCAATATGGTTTAAATGTAGTTGCAATTTTGTGATGATTTGATCCTATTAATAACGATTTTGTTTTTCCCGCATTAAGTACCAACTTATTATTTATGACCC